GGTCTCACCAAGTTGCCCAGGCTGGTCTCGAACCCGCGAGCTCAGGCAATCCTCTCACCTTGGCCTCCCAATGTGCTGGGATTATAGGTGTGAGGCACTGTGTCTGGACTCATTTATTTTTGAGAAGTCTGAATATCCCATTTGTTTCTTTTTTTTTTTGAGTTGGAGTCTCACTCTGTCACCCAGACTGGAGTGCAGTGGTCGCTCCCGGCCACCTCAGCTTCGACCTGCTGGGCTCCGGCTATCCTTCCGCCTCAGCCTTCCAAGGACCTGGAACTACAGGCGCGTGCTACCACACCCGGCTAGTTTTTTTTTTGATTATTGTAGAGATGAGGTCTCGCCAAGTCTCCGCGGGTCTGAACCCGCGGGCTCAGGCAATTCACTCACCTCAGCCTCCCAAAGCATAGGATTACAGGCTGAGCCACCGAGCCCGGCTCATTTGTTTCTTAGTTGTTCTTTCAAATAAAAATGGTGTTCCATCAAAGAGAAAGGTGGTAAAGCTCACAACTGGAACAATTGTCTGCTTTTCCTTGAAAAGAGTATCATATTTTGGCAGGCTGTAGGAGTGCTTCATACAGACTTCCCATTTTGTCACCTAGAATATTAAAAAGACATGAACCTAATGATTGAGATTTAATATGATTAATAATTTTCCTGCTTTTTTAAATGCACTCTTGGTGAAATTGACTTTTTTTCCCCTGTGAGTACATGACATTGAAGAATACAGTGCTCACTAATAGGTTAGGGTGCCACTGCCTTGATTCATTCTAAAGTACCAGGAGTTTGGCATCATCAGTGTAAATGTCAGTACACTGAAAAAGGAAGGTAATATCTTAGTAGTATTGTGAAAACTCTTTGGCCTGAAAGGATCTCGGATGTCTGTAGACGTCTGTCTGTCAAGCATATCTTGAGAACTGCGCTGTAAACTTTGCTGTCTCAGCAGAAATCTGATTAAATTATAACACTTCTTTTTTTTTGAGTTGAAGTTTCACTCTGTCACCCAGACTGGAGTGCAGTGGCATGCTGGAGTGCAGTGGCATGAGCCACCGAGCCCAGCCTATAACACTTTTAAAAAAATGAGACAAGTATTTCTTTTTTTTTTTTTTTTGAGTTGGAGTCTTACTCCGTCACCCAGACTGGAGTGTAGTGGCTGCTCCCGGCCACTGCAGCCTCGACCTGCCGGGCTCTGGCGATCCTCCCGCCTCAGCCTTCCAAGTAGCTGGAACTATAGGCATGCGCTATCACGCCCGGCTAATTTTTGATTTTATGTAGAGATGAGGTCTTACCAAGTTGCCCAGGCGGGTCACGAACCCGCGGGCTCAGGCAATCCACTCACCTCAGCCTCCCAAAGTGCTGGGATTACAGGCTGAGCCACCAAGCCTGGCTGAGACAAGTATTTCTATGTTTCCCAATCTGGTCTAAATTATAACTGTTGGTCATCTTGAATAGTAGTAGCTGCAGGAAACTAGCCAGTTTTTTTTTCTTTTGTCACTTGATTTGGAATTCTTTCTAACGTGGTCAGAGGTAGTACCAGCATTAATAGATTTGTGGAACATGTACATAGGGTGGTTCCTCTTGAAGAATTATAGTGATAAGTGTTGTTATAGGTTGTCTTAGAGGAGAATCTGCCAGTAACTTGATACCTTTAGTAGCTAGTCTGTCCTTGCCTATAGTTCCCTGGTCCTTTTTTTTTTTTTTTTTACCCCTCTCTAAGTAAAACCCTTAGTGATAAATTTCTGAAATTGTTAATGTCTTTAATCATAATAGTATGCTTTACTGCCCTTTTTTGGCTTTGTAGTTCCTTATACCCATTCATCTTGCTAATGCCAGAATTCAGATAATTGAAAAGTATCTCTTTATAATAAATGTTTCTTCATGAGAAATATCAGGAGCCCTTTTTATGTTGTCAGTCTAAATTGAGATGTTGAAAAATAGATTTCCATGGTGATTGATTGTTGCATTTCCCTGTAGTGGACTTAGAAATGTATAAAAACTGTGCTGTACTTTTGGACTTTGATTGATCCTTAGTCATAATTTTATTAGACTTAAGACATCGCCAGGCTTGGTGGCTCAGCCTGTATTCCCGTGCTTTGGGAGGCTGAGGTGAGTGGATTGCCTGAACCCGCGGGTTCGAGACCCGCCTGGGCAGCTTGGCGAGACCTCATCTCTACAATAAATCAAAAAATTAGCCGGGTGTGGTAGCGCATGCCTGTAGTTCCAGCTGCTTGGAAGGCTGAGGCAAAAGGATCGCCGGAGCCCAGCAGGTCGAGGCTGCAGTGTCTGGGAACGGCTACTGCACTCCAGTCTGGGTGACAGAGTGAGACTACAACTCAAAAAAACCAAAAAATAAAAAACAAACAAAAAAAGACATCATTCATGTATTAATGTGAGCAGTGATTTGGGAGACAGGGAGGGATATTTTGAAATGTAGACTGAAAATGCAATTTTTTCACAATTGACATTAGTCATATCTGTTTCCTCTGAGGCAGTCATGTGAAAAGTGAGTGGGTATACCAGTAGCGAGGTATTTAGGCAACCATGAGGAGTATCTGAATGAAATCTGGTTCTAGACCATGATTTATCTCTTACATGTTTTGAAACAAGTCTTTAAGCATAATAGAAGATAATAGCCTTGGTTATTTTTTTTTCCTTTGGAGTAGGAGTCTCGATCATCCATGCTGGAGTGCAGTGGTATGCTCGCAACCACCATATCCTTGACCTGCTGGGCTGGGTGATCCTTCCACCTGAGTCTCCCCACTAACTGGAACCACAGGCATGCATCTCCACGCCCAGCTGATTTTTGATTTATTCTAGAGATGAAGTCTCTTCAAGTTGCCAGTCTGGGCTCAGGCAATGCTCGTCTCTGTCTCCCAAAGTGCTGGTATTACAGGCATGAACCACTGTACCCAGCATCCTTGTAACCTTTTCCATCAGTTTTATTGACTTAGTTGCATTCAATTAAATGCACACATCTTTTTTTTTTGGACTTATTGTAGAGATGAGGTCTCCCTAAGTTGCCCAGGCTGGACTCTAACCCATGGCTCAAAGCAATCTTCTCATCCAGGCCTCCCAAAGTGCTGAGATTATAGGCATGAGGCACTGCACCCGGCCAGAATGTACACATATTAAGCGCACAGTTTGATGGCTTGAGTTTTTTTTTGAATTTGAATCTCACTCTGTTGCCCAGTCTGGAGTACAGTGGCACGCTCACAGCCACCCCAGCATTAACCTGCTGGGCTCTGGCGATCCTTCCACCTCAGCCTCTCAAGTAGCTGGAACTACATGCGTGAGCTACCACACCCTGCTAATTTTTTTGTTTTATTGTAGAAACAAGGTTTTGCCAAGTTGCCCAGGCTGGTCTTGAATTCGAAGGCTCAGGCAATCCACTTGCCTCGGCCTCCCAAAGTGCTGGGATAACAGGCTGAGCCACTGAGCCCGGCCTGATGACTTGTCAAATGATTACAACTTGATGTATATATGAAGATGCAGAATATTTCCATAACCCCAGAAATTTCATCTGTGTTCCTTCACAGTTAGTTCCCTGCACCCCTGTCTTCTTACTGATCTAGTTTTTATAACTAAAGATTAGTATATTACTCGTTTTAAAATTTCCTATGAATGGAATCTTATGGTGCATACTCCTACATGCATGTCTGACATTTTTTTAAACTCAGCATGTTTTTGGGATTCATTTGTGTTGCATATGTCTGTTATTTGTTCTTTCTCAGTAGTATTCCATTGTGCTATGCCCGTTTGGTTTTTATGAAGATCGAGGCACTGCTTGTATCATTATACTTGACACACAGGAAGTGTTCAATAAATGTTAACTTTAAAAAAAGGTTAAAGCCGGGCTCGGTGGCTCAGCCTGTAATCCTGCGCCTTTGGGAGGCTGAGTGAGTGGATTGCCTGAGCCCGTGGGTTCGAGACCCGCCTGGGCAGCGAGACCTCATCTCTACAATAAATAACAAAATCAGCTGGGCGTGGTAGCGCATGCCTGTAATTCCAGCTACTCAGAAGGCTGAGGCGAAAGGATCGCCGGAG